CAAGTTACATTTCGGACAAGTATCATGCTCACGAAAGGATGACGAAAAAAGACCACGCTTAACGCTAAGCTAACCTAAAATTGACATGGGCTAAAGATATACGACTAATCCGATGTTTGAATTTGGCTTTGCAAGGGCCGCAAATGACAACAGATTTCTCCCGACAGCCGTCAAGCAAGTAAAGTTAAAAGGAAAAACTATGACTACTGCTGTGTTAGCGAGTCCTCTAGGTTTGGCTGGAAGCAACTAACATGAAATAAATTAAGCTGTGTTAACCGAGTAAAAAATGTCTTAACGCTGTAAATAATTTAATCTCCAAAGTTAACACTTACATTTTGGCAGCCCTAAAAATTAGGCCTAAAAATCAAGCCGCTCTGAAAGCTTGTATCTCGCCACAGCTAGCTTGCGAGCTAACAGGCTTGTGGGGTCCCTCACAGGCGGCAAGCTCATTTACAGCGTCACCTCCACGCTTAAGTGGGTTGAAGAACAAAGTTGAACTGTTCTGTAACTTATGATATCCAGGGATGAAGGATTTTTTTGACGGTTCCGCACAGCTAGCTAGCTAGATCCTCTATTTCGTTGTAGAAATGGGCTGAGTAATAACATTTAGCTCAATTGCATGAAGAAAATGGCCCAATTTGTTTCCACCTCAAATTCACATGAATGGAGGTTATTTGTTTGAAAATTAAAAAAAAAAATGTTTTGGGTTGTGTCAAGTTAACCAAATTTTAAAAGCGCGTTTGAAGAAATTAAACAGGTACATGACAAAGCAGCTGGTGTCCACTCAAGGAGCCATTTTGACACTTCCTTTAACAACCCTCATTAATAGACTTTATCATCCACTTTTGCTGGCTCAGCCTTCTTTTTTTATGCGCCAGGATTTATAGGACGCAAAGCTGCAAATGAGTCTTGTTCCATCGTCCGCAACATGTGGAGCGTGCATAAAGGTCGAACGAAACGCTTTATGTGGCTGCGCTCATCCTTCCTCTCTCGCCGCTGAGCTCACTTTTCTCTTTCATGGCGACATTGCCCTCGTCGAGGCTGAAGGTGGTTGTACCGCATCAAGCAGATTACAACCTCTTTTGAAATGCTGATCTACTGAAGACGCCGATCGTCTGCATTTGAAAGTGGACCTTCATTTCATTCTTGGGCTGCCTATTGAAATCTGGGGATAAAAGCAACAACAAACATCAATTGAATTACGCATAAATGAGAAATATTATGCTCCCCCCAACACACACCCACAATTTTAAACAATCTACACAAAGTTGACAATATATGATGGACACAACACTCCATTTGATCGTTTTTTTGTGGGGCTTTTTGTTCTCGCCTCTTTTGCAGCACTTTCAGCTCACTACCGGGTGTGCGAGCCCTACTCCGACCACAAGGGGCGCTACCACTTTGGCTTCCACTGCCCCCGACTGTCGGACAACAAGACGTACATGTTCTGCTGCCACCACAACAACACGGCCTTCAAGTACTGCTGCAACGACACCGAGTTCCAGATGCTCATGCAGATCAACCTCACGACCACCGCCGATGGCTATTCGCACAAGTAAT